AAGGTACATGGTGTACCAAAGTCTTTTAATACCATTCGATTTGCACGAAATTTGGTACAGCGTAATGAATTAAAATGATGTGTGCTAAGTTTCGTGAAAATCGCTTCAGATTTAGATATAGCTCCCGTATATAGTTTCGTCCGATTTTATACAAATAGTGAACCAAAGTCACTTTACATCTTTCGATTTGCATGAAATTTTGCATAGGGTACTGAATTAAGTCCAGAATTACGTGTGCCAAGTTTCGTGAAAATCGGTTCAGATATAGTGTGTAAATAGTGCACCAAAGTCCCTATATACCGTTCGATTTGCATGAAATTTGGTACTAGATTAGGTCTAGAATGATGTGTGCTAAGTTTCGTGAAAATCGGTTCAGATTTAGATATAGCTCCCACATATATTTTTGTCCGATTTAAGGTATATGGTGTACCAAAGTCCCTATATATCTTTCGATGAATTAGGTCCAGAATGATACGTCCAAAGTTTCGTGAAAATCGATTCAGATATAGATAAAACTCCCATATATATTTTCGTCCGATTTTAGGTAAATACTGTACCAAAGTTCCTATATATCCTTCGATTTTCACGAAATTTGGCATAGCGTATGAACTAAGCCTAGAATGATGAATAGTGAGTTTCGGGATCAGATTTCGATATATCTTCCATATCGTTAGCTAAAATGCAAAAAAACTTAACTAACAAAAGCATAATTGTGTAGGAGAAGCAAAAAACTGTTTTGAATGAAAACTATAAACATGTCATTTGAAATAAAAAGTACGCCCGGCAGGGTGATATTGCATATGATGAATTTTTTAACAAATTTAGTTATTTAGTTTAATGGCAGTCACAACAATTAAGTAAAAATTTGAATTTTTGTTAGTTACGCCTTTTTGCATTTATCAAATAAACCCACTTGTAGTTACGTCTTTTTGTTTTTTGTTAATAGAAGCTCCATAATTGACCGCAGACGTGTAAAACTTTGACAACACATGTAGTTTAATTGAGCTTAGAATCATGTGTGGTAATATTCGGAAAAATCGATCCAGATTTCGATTTAGTTGCCACATAGGCATATATATTCGTCCGATTTTACATAAATGGTGGACCAAAATGTTTATTGCGTTTTATTGCTTATAAAATTAAATTTATCATCGGTTGGAGAAAGACAGGAATATGTTCCTTCGACGGAACATTGTCATGTAATTGTAAAGATACATATGCACAATATACCCAAAGTGGTGAAGGGTATCATATAGTCGGCCCAGTCCGATTTTACTACTTTTCTTACTGGTTTTGAGTTGTTTCCATTTGGCTATTATAGGTGCTTCGACAAATGGTTTGAGAGCACTGAAAAGCCTAAAAATCATTTTGGTGACGAAATTTCATAAATATATTTTCAAATATCATTTTGTTCTCTACATTACAAACATAGACTGAAGGTATGGATATGTAAGCGATATGAATACTTTGTGAATAAACCTCGAACAGAAAATCACCATTCTATTGAAATGATCGTGCTTTCATAATTTGACTGTATTATATCATAGTGCGTATACGTAATGTTATTGCATTAACATAACTCATACGCTCCCATTTATAAAAATGAAAACACATTTGTATACAATTTTCACATTAATTTTTCTTTGTTTTTTTATTATTATTAATAATATTTATAATTAAATTTAATAAAATTAATTGATTTATTTAGTTTTTTTTCATTACTTATGCTTAAATTAATTGTTTTCGTGTATCTTTTGTCAATTGATTTGAATACTTGTAGTAAATGTATGTATATTTATATATATAGAGAGAGAGAATAAACATTTGTGTTTATTTCAATGAAATTGTGTTTTTTTATATTTATTTATTTTTCATTATTATTATTTATATAGTAGAGAGGAAATAAATGATGTTTTGGTTATAATAATAATAAAATGCTATTTTAATTAATACTTATTAACTACTTAATGTGATAATTGCGATGCATTAAAAATGTATGTGTGTAAATAACTATATATATATGTGTATACTACATAGTTTTGTGTATGTAGATGTGTTATTACTTTTGTGTATTGTTAGAATTTTTTTTGCATACTATATATAAACATGGTTGATATACAAAAGTTACACATAAATGTGTATAGCATCATTGTTAATTTTTTTTTTAAATCATCTTCTTATTTAAATATTATAAAAACAAATAGGAAACAAAACAATTGGTTCTTTTTTTTTGAAAAGTGACAAAAAAATCTATCCTAAACATAAGCGGGCATTAAATACCCCAAGAAATTGGAAAAAAATGTGTAATAAAATTTTTTAGAAAAATTATTGTTTAATTGAAAAAAAAAACAAAAGAAAAAAAAATAGATTATCAATTAAAAAAATTAAATATTACTAATTGCATATGAGGGGCTTTTTAGTTGATTTTTTAAGATTTTTTTTATTCTCATTCTATCTATAACAAATAAACTTAAAAACAAATAAGGCAAAGTTGTTTTTTTTCTTAAATTTTTTGTGTAATAATAAAAAATACTTAAACTTAAAAAAATATATACGTAATTTATATTTAAAATTATTTTCTTTTTTTCTACTAATAAAAAAACGTAATTAAAATTATAATGAAATGCCATCTTTGGTAACTTAATTCAATTATTTGCTATATATTTTATTTTTATTCTAAAAAAATTATTAATGCTGCATAGCTTAACTGGGTCTTCTAAGTGGTCATGTTTCAGTTGGATATTTAAATTATATTTAATTTATTTGTTTTTCAAAATTTTGTAATCAGTATTTTTTATGGTTTGCATGCAATGTTATTTGTCGTTTTTCTTCTTTTTAATAAATTTTAAATTTTAGACCTAATATTTTTTTAACAATTCTACAAAGTTTTTTTATAATTTATTTCTATAGAAATTGGGTGGAATTTCTTTGCATTATTTTTTTAAAGAAAATTATTTTATAAATTACAAAATTTTGGGGAAGTAATTGATATGATTTATTTCAATAATTTGTTTAATATTTATAACTCCTTAAATTGTTGTTGTAGTTTTTGTTATTTAATATAAACAATATTGCCATTTTAGTTATTAACGTTTACATTGTTATTATTTTTTAATCACGTTCCTCATATTTATGTACAAAGGAATTCAAACCCGCCAGCTGGGAACATTGATTGGGATCGTACAGCGACATCTTTAGACGTTTGCATTTGGCCCGACGATTTTTGAACCAGAATTGTACATTTTTACTTTCCAAGCGGGGAAACTTTTGTCTGCAATGAAGGAGAAAAGAAAGGGAGAAGGTGATGGTTTAGTAAAAATTATTACAATAATAAAAAAGCTAGGATTCTCTATTGAATTAGAAATAAAAAATATTTTCTAAATACCTCTAATCTTACACTAGATCCCACATAGTGAAAATTTCTCCCAACACTTTTTTATATAAAAAAATTAATTATTAAGAATTCAACTCACCTATAGGGCATCGTATTCAAATCTTCGGTATATTTTAAAATCAGGCTGTGCGATGGGTGTGTGTTCATGGCGAACCATTGTTCCAGCTTTGGCACCTCAGTAACGGGATCGATAAATGTACGATTCCGTTTACGACGCTCCTCACTTGAAATATTCGATAAGTTGAGGCCACCACCAGGCATTAATGAGTTTGCTTGCATTCCTGCTGCAGCTGCCGCCGCAGCGGCATGATGTGCCGCAGCAGCATGAGGATGCCCGGCAGCCGCCGCTGCCGCAGCTTGACCAAATCCTGGCATATAATGACTCATATACATAAACGACTGGGAGAACATATTATTTGGCACCATGGGGAATGGTAAATCTTTACGTTGTGCTGCTGCCGCGGCCATCATGGCATTATTCATATCCGGTGAGGGTGAACGAAAATCATGTAAACGGCTGGCATCGTTATCATCATCGTCGTCATCATCATCCATATCGAGATCTTCATCGTCCTCCTTTGATGATGTGGGTTTTGGTGACGATGGCCGTGAATTGTTATGGGAATTATCCAATGACTGATTGTTGTTGTTGTTGCTGGTTGTATTATTGCTACCACAACCACCACTGCTGCTGTTGTTGTTGTTCAGCGAATTGGAAGAATTGTTGTTGGTTTCACTCTCATTGCGTTGTTGATCCTCACCATCGCCATTGTTGTGGTGTGCGGGTTCTCCGCTCGCATTACCACCTTCTTCGGTGTGATGTTCCTCTTTAGTTAAATTATTGGAGTCATACTTCTCACGCTCTTCATAGGATCGTGATTGTGAGCGTTCATTTTGTGATTCACTGAGATTTTCCGGTTTTTCATCCACCTCCGTGGCCATGGAAGATATATGGTCATTTAGCCCCACCTTGTTGTCATTCGCCTGGTCACTGTCAGTTTGATGACGTTCATGTATGGTTAGTGATAGTGGCAATTGTGGAGAATTTGGACGACTTTGATCATCATCCAGATCATCCGAATGCTGGGACATGGTATCAATATCCTCCGATTTCAAGCTCAGAGGACTCTTCATAAAATCATTGGATAGCGAGAGGTTACCCATGCTGGAACCCATAATTTGCTGTTGACTACTCATGCTGCCGGTGCTGCTGCCACCCGATGTCTGACCCAATTGACTGTGTTGACCCAAATAACCATTCATGGCTGCCTGCATGGCACCGAAACCACCACGCATTTCAGCACGTTTCTGGGCGGCCCGGGCATTCTTAAACCAGTAGACGACATTATTGACATCCAATGGCTTGCGACCACGACGCGATTCCAAGGCATTCAGTTGCACCACATAGGCCTGTATCTGCTGCCTTGATGGATGGGGATTTTCCTGAAACCATTTCTGTAAGCGCGGCAATTCCATTTCGGGATCAAAACTTGTGCGCATACGTGTCTTTTGATTAGAAAATTGCGAATGTGATAAACTGGCATGATGATGCATGCTGGCATGCATGGCAGGATGTACCATCATATTGGTATGATGTGATGTCGGGGTGCCGGGCATAACACCGGATGTGTGATGACTATTGGAATCGTTCAGCAACAATGATTCACGTGATGCACTAATGCTAGTGGGTATATTACTGCCCGCCGTTGAGGCGGCATGAAGACCAGCTTGTGCCGCAGCGGCGGCAGCTGCTGCTGCGGCCAGCGCTGCAGTACCCATGTTATGTTCGATATCATTGTTAACCCCAGCCGGTGGGGCACCCATAAAGGGTAACAGTTTGGGGGTCATCGATGCTTGGGGTGAGAGTTGATTTGACCACCATTGATCAAATTTGCGGCGTAAATCTTCGGGTATATCACCTCCGGGGAAAGCGAATGGATTTTGATATGAACTGCGGCATATTTGTGATAGGGTGACCTGCAAGGAGAGGGGGGGGGGGGGGGGGGGGGTGAAAAAAGAAAATGGGTTAGTTTTATGTTAATAGGTAGAAATGTATAAACTGAGATCTGTATGGAATTTCAAATTCGAAATTCGGTCTATCAAAACGACGTATTTAAAAAAATAAATATTTTTGATCGATCTAGACATATGTGTCCGTCCGTCTGTCCATTATAATTTGTAAACACGATACAGGCCACAGTTATGGACCAATTTTTACGAAATTTTGCTTGTAGGATGGGTTCTGGCCAATGAAGACCCCTATTGTTTTTGGAAAAGATCGGTTAATATTTAGGGAATGAAATGGACCAAAAACTTTATTTTTGTCGGTTTTTCTGGTCGCTCCAGAGGTCGCAATTATGGCCCAAACACCGCGAATTTTTGCATGGAGAAGCCGATCGGGGTAGAGAATAAGCATGCATGTTTTGATAAAGATCTGTTATTATTTAGCGGGTCAAATGAACCCTGGCTTTTGTGTGAAAAATTACAAATTTTGTATTCTATGGCGTATATGTTTATTCCTGAAGGACATCGATCCGAGATGTTGATATTATATCCAAGAGGAGTGGTTGACCTTTAAATTGATACCAATTATATTGTCGTATGTACTCGGATGTGGGAGATACACTTAAATATTTACAATTGCTTACGTATTGATATATTATTCAGTAACCCATTACCACACTAGAGGGCAGAAATATAGCGCTGATCGCTTTTAAATTTTCCATGAAGTTGATGTAGGGTATCATATGGTCGGCCCCGTCCGACTATACTGCTCCGCTCACTGGTTTTAAATTATTTTTTGACTGTCTATCCTAAGCGCGGATTTTTAAAAATATGTTTTTGACTTTCTGTCCTAAGCTTGGATTTAAAACAATATTCTTTTGACTGTCTATCCTAATCATGGATTTTTAAAAAATATTTTTTGACTAGTTGGGATATTTTTAAATAATATTTAACCATAGACTTTCTTTCGTATATCAAATTAATATTACAATTGTCTAACCCTGTTGCTCACGCCACACTTTTGGTTATTTTTTATTTCATGTATATATCTTTGGGCCCACTTGAATATTTTTCGATTATTTTATAATCCCCTTTATTATCTATGCCATAGAGACAGACATTCATTCTATAATTGATTATTTTTGATTGATATCTAAATTAAATATCAAGTGATCCCCCTGCCGTAGGCTTAAACATATATCATTTTCATTGTGACGCAATTGTTTTGTTTTTTTTTTATTTTATTCATATGACGCCATAAACATTGATAATTCTTTAATACCGGAAGATTGTAAATCAGAGCATTTGGTAGCCGCAGAAAAAAATCCCCCTTCTAAATATGAATAATATCAAACAACAAATAGACATGTGATGAGCCAGTGAATACCTACTCAATTATCTCTAGCAATTTGCAAAACTTTTGAATTTGAAAAATATATTTTTTATTTATTGGTTTATATGTCAATAAATATTTTTTGAAAGCAAAATAAATTCTCATCAATTGTAAATCATGGTAAACAAAGTGTTATTACAGATATCACCAATTAATCACCTTGGTTGTCTATTGCACATTACCTTGGCGGAATCTTCTTCCCCCCCCCTTCCCCTTTACAAATGACTTATTTTTTGGTTAATTATTATTGTCATTCCAAAGGGGGTCTTAAGTGATTTGATTTTTTGAAAAAAAAAAATCACTGAAAAGCTTTCTTGATATCCGTTAAGTAGTTTCGTTTTAGTCCCATCGTTTTGTGTGTAATTTTTGTCGTTTATTTGATAACATTTCTTATCTTCTAAAACACACAGACACACAAAAGTGATTACAAATTGAAAAAGAAATCACAACACTAGTCAGTCACCCGGCCATAAAATGAAATCGTTAATCTCTATATCTATTTCTGTTAAATCACAGTTCAAATCCACATAAACTCTTGTTAACACTATGCGGTTGACTGGCTCTTATCTTTTATTTATGACCAAGTTGTTGAGAATGCAGTTAATATTGTAGTTTTTATTATTTTGCTAACAAAAAGTGGGTACCCTATACATGGCCTCTTGAAGAAGAAACTGTATTTATTATAACGTAAAAAAATAGGCATGCAATGACCTATAGAAGTTATTGGATAGAAGTCATTCTCTTTGCTTTCCCCATATGTTCTATGTGTAGCAAATATTTGTGTCGAGAGAGGACTATTTAGTTCTTACAACGGATTAAAAACTAAATCAATGTTATGGCAAGGACTATCAGAGCTTTAAGCATGGATTTTTGAAGAATGTATTTTCAAGGACATAACACTAAGCGTTGATTTTAGAGTAAGATTTTTTGAGGGACTTTCTGGGCTACAAATGTGGACTTTAAATTATTATTTTTATACCCTTCACCACACTGTGGTACAGGGAATTGTGTCTTTGTGCATATATTTGTAACAGGCAAAAGGAATCGAGATAGACCCATGGTTCCTTTTGAGAATATGCATAGAATCACTTTCTGAGTCGAATTATGCATGTCCGTTCGTCCGTCTGTTGATGTTAAATTGTAAACAAAGTACAGGTCGCAGTTTTAACCCGAATTAAATGAAATTTGGCACAGCTCATTAATTTGGTCCAAGGACGAACCTTATTAAATTTAAAGTAAAAAGTGTACCAAAGTCCCCATTTATCTTTCGATTTGCACGAAATTTGGCACAGCATACTGAATTAGGTCTAGAATGATGTGTGTTCAGTTTCCTGAAAATCGGTATAGATTATGATATAGCTCCCATATATATATATATATATATATATTCGTCCCATATAATGTAAACGCTGTACCAAAGTCCCCAAATATCTTTTGATTTGCACGAAATTTGGCACAGCGTAATGAGTTAGGTATAGAATAATGTGTGTTAATTTTCCTGAAAATCGGTTCAGATTTAGATTAGCTCCCATATATATTTTCGTCCGATTTAATGTCAATTGTGTACCAAAATCCCTATATATCATTCGATTAGCACGAAATTTGGCACAGCGTACTGAATTAGGTCTAGAATGATGTGTGTTAAGTTTCCTGAAAATCGGCCTAGTTTTAAATATAGCTCCCTATTTACCTTCCGATTTGCACGAAATTTGGCACAGCGTACTGAATTAGGTCTAGAATAATGTGTGTTAATTTTCCTGAATCGGTCCAGATTTAGATATAGCTCCCATATATATTTTCGTCTGATTTAATGTCAATGGTGTACCAAAGTCCCTATATATCATTCGATTTGCACATAATTTGGCACATCGTACTGAATTAGGTTTAAAATGATGTGTGTTATGTTTCCTGAAAATCGGTCCACTTGTGTGTCCGATTGCCACACAATTTTGTACAATGAACTGTAGTTAATCTCTGCCAAGTCTCATTGAAATCGGTTCATATATAGCTTCTACATATATATTTTCGTCCGATTTAACGCCAAATTGACACACATTTTGTACAACGTACTAAAGTTAGTATAAGCTAGAGGTAGGATATAAATGCTTCAACAAGGTGGGTCCAATCGGCACAGAATATTGCACTACGTACTGAAGTTACTATAACATAAGAAGCAACCCTATATCTGACCAAATGAAAAATTTAGTATAGGTGGCAAAATGTCATGTTTATGGATCCATTTCATGTTAATGATCATTCAAAAATTCGACGTCTGTTAGAATTCATCTCTTGAATATGACAAAGTTGTGAAGGGTATGACATAGTCGGCCCCGTCCGACTTTACTACTTTCCTTACTGGTTTTGGAATGTGTATCTGATCAATTATCGTGGAATTTTTTAAAAAATATATATTTTTTAGGGATTTTCTATGCTTAATTTTTAACTATTTTTGGAAGGGTCTTAAAACAATTTTATTTGTAGGGACTTCCTGTCCTATAATTTAAGAATATTTTAATTATTTTGTACCATAGATGTAGATTTAAAAAAATATATTTTTTAAAGGACTATCTGCGCTAAAAATACGACTTTATACAGAATATTTTTGGAAGAGGTATCTGAGCTACATATACAATAATATTTTTCCCAAAAATCACCCTTCATCATTCTCATCTAATGGGAGCCTTCTTCTATTGTCATAATATTAACATTTATTTAAGTTTAATTTTGAAAATGAGATAATTTCAGTTTGAAAACTTTTATGGCCTGCTGGCACGCTCCTACTTTTCAAAAGTTCTCTTGTACTCCACGTGTTGTTGTAATAGTTACTTTTATTATTCCTCATTTTTTTGTTGTATATTACTTTGTGAGAATCCCCCACAACCTCTTGAGAATTTTTATGATAGAGGGGGTGGGGGTGGCATTTAAGACAGTTAAGTTTTGCAAACGACAAAATAACAAATCAATTGCATGCTGTTCAATGGTAAAACTGTGATTTAGTTGTTTATGGCGTCTATTTGAGGTGTCAATTGTTTTAGTCGTTATTATTGTTATTACCTGTTATTGATATTGTTATTATATAGCCAACAATGTTGGTAACAACGACAAGAATTATTGTTGGTATATATAGTTATTGTTAGAGCCATTCATTACCAAACGGGCCAGGGATTTTGGAATTTAGCTTTCATAGTACCATCACCACTACCCAGAGTTTTAGAGTCTTT